GTAGGGAAAAAAACCAATTGGTACTTAAGTCCTGAATAGTAGTTTTCTCTGTTTTGAGGAAAAAATAGTTATGGAAGCTAAAGGCAATAACTATTTCCACTTGTACTTCCTTTAAACACATCTAACCATAAGCCACGGGCAATAATGTGGTAGCGTTGGAGGTTAAATTAGAAGCCAATTCATATAAATTTACATGAAAACATAATTTGTGATGCGGGCAAGGCTGGGGGAATGGGACGCCAGACAAAAAGCCCTACAGAAGAATTTACTTCTGAAAAAATACCTGAAAATATCATATTTAAATTCCACAAAATATATAATTTAAAACATAAAGAAATGCCAGATATTTCTTTTATCAGTCATCCTTGAATATTTATCATTGAGATTTTTGCAAGAAAGATCTGCATGCCAAACCAGAACTTCCTTAAGACCTGTAAGTCTACTCTTTTCTACTTATATGCATAAGTTATTATACAACTGTAATATAAAAAAGAGAACAAGTTTGTAGATAGTGCTGTCTGTAATTATGTTGTCTTTGACAAATGAAGAGGAATAAAAGGCAACACAGGCCTTACTTTGTCAGTGAGCAATATATTGAATAAACGCAGGAGGTATTAACGTGCCCTTTTTCCGCTACAATTTTTTGAAGTAGATTTAGGCATAAACTGTGTCTCTTCATGTGGTGGCAGCAGGTCTAAGCTCAGTTTTCCTGCACTCCAAGCCAGCCAGATGCAAGCTGGTCCAGTCCATCAGCTCACTGGCTGCTGTCAGTACGTGCCAGTTTACTCGGCCTCTTAGCACCTATTATCCATGTAGACATGTCAAAGAGACAATTGAAGCACAGGGACTTGTTGCCAAAGGTGGCACTACGTAGAAGTGTTGTTTAGTCAAATGTAAAAATTATTTTAGAATTTTTAGTTTGAAATACATTAAAAGAGATACAAAAATGTCGAGGAAACGTATATTATAATGCTGGAAGATTTCATGCGATTGCACAGCGCACAATATAAAGAGACTTATTTGCTGAAACCACAGTTGAGGGTATAAATGAAGTCTCTTCCAGTCATACATGCTGAACTTGAAGTAGTCACGTTTACTGGAACTTAAATACAAACTACAAGAAATTTCTTTATTGTATAGGAAGGCAGTGCAAATGTTATGGCTCTGCAACAAATCTAATCTTATTATTGAACACAACAATATACAATTGCTATATTTTAGCCTAGCATAGCTACATTAATTAATTAATTACTACAGCCAATGAAGTTTGCCTGACACATGCCCTTTCTTCATATTATAAGATTAAAACAAAAAAAAAAGTTATATATGGAACTACATTTGTGTGGTAATAATTTTTCCTCATCTTTTGCTAGTGAACATAATCTTTATTTTGACATATTTTTCTGAACACATATGTAGTTTTTTTTTGATCCATCAAGAAAGGTAAGACATACAATAACCTGTGATAGTTTCACATTGAGAAATAAGTATTTCAACCAATAAAAATAAGGTTGTGACACGGTCTCTGTATTTAAATAGAAACTATGTTTTAAGAATTTTTTAAAAGTAGATATGAGTCTTGACAGGTACTCATACAGTTGCCCTCTTCCATCTAGTACACAAGACCTTTAACCCAAGTTAAAACTTATTAAGTGAGACCTAACTGAAATTTTTTTTCCATGTGGCTTTGGTAGAGCTACTCAGTGTTAAATGTGAGCACAGGCAACATTTGCAGGATCAGGCCCTTCGAATATTTTGTGCTGTCATTTAATAAAAGACTTGCATACAGTTGTAAACACTTCATAATACACAAAAGAAGGCAGAAATACAGCAACAGACTGCGAGTGAACAGAGCACTGCTTACACTTTCTAGGCATTTGTCTTACAAATTTATTATCCTTAAGGCAACCACAATTTTTTTCTTGTGATAATTCAAAAGTGTAAGTCATAATTTTGGTCTAAAGAAAAATTCTGAGCAGAAATACTGAAATTGCCTTTATTTGCCATTCAGATTAGCTACACAATTCCTCTGAATTATAAAGTTACAATAACTGTTGGAAAACCTCAGATTCGCACTGAAGAGTATTTATTTGGAACACTTCATTGAAATAATAGTCCAAAACATGAACGGGTTTGCTCCAATTGGACACAGGCAACCAGGAAATGAATGTTAAAAATTGTTACAATCTCATCTATTACAGAAGCATCATAACTACCAATATAATCAATGTTAGCATCATTCACACTTCATGTGGTCAGGTAAAGTATTTCGACTTGAAAATGCAGCAATATTTGTGAAGTCTGAACCCTAAATTTAGAGAGATGTCTCTTCAGTGCTATTATTTTCATTGTTAGTTTGAGAAATATTTACTTGGAAATGGCTAAAATCTAATTTAAAATTGAAAAATTAATAAAGGAAAAAAAAATCCTAGGCCAAATGGATTCATGGCAACTTGAAAACTAAACAAATTAAGGTATTATATTTAAAACAAAAGTATCATTTTACATAAGAGTATACCAAATAGCCAGTTTATTTAAATAGCCAGTTTATTATTTATCATGTTCAGTACTGTCTTATTAACAGGAATCAATATATATCAATATCCGGAGTTACGGTTAAACTAAAAAATCCAAGTATTTACATTTTTTGAACGTAGCAAGTAGATGTCTTAATGTTCATGTGGTACCTCAGTTTCTCTGATGACTAACTCTAGTCTATGCGGCTAGTGAAAAAGTACATCCCCTTCACGTTATATCTGCAAGCCACAGAAATACCTTCCATTATATGTTCTTAAACTTAAATGAAGCAATGGTAATCAGGTGACATAACAATAATACAGTAACTAGTGACTTGTCTTCCATTCCACAAAACTTCCAGGAAGTTACTTCAGTTATTTATTGTTTGGAAACCATCCAGTTTACTTATGCAAAAACTAGCTGTAATATGTTTAAGAACCATTATGAAAACTAAACAGTTTTTTTCCCTCCCAAAAGCAAGTTTTACATTACATCTAATTCTCAAAGAACATCTGCTTGGCATCGTCTCAGCGTACGCGTGAGTTAAAGATAAGCTGTAAGACCACGGTACTACTTGAAGCTGTACCAGCTACTTTTTAAAATCCCACCAGTCATGTTAAACGTGCAAATATTTTCCGTACCTTTTTCATCTGACAAGCAGCACAGAGACTCAGAGGACAGACCCTAGACAGACCGTAAAAGAAAGACGTTGCCACCTAACAGTGCTGGGGAGCCCCTGCGGAGGGGCGGATCGCGGAGGCCCGCGGCGGCGGTAGCTGCCGGCCGGGTCATCAGGG